TGAGGTGGAGAAAGCTTGATGAAAGAACCCCGAGGTGGAAAAATCTTGAAATATAAAAATCCTGAGGTAGATAAATCTTGAGATATAAAAATCCTGAGGTGGAAGACTCGATAGAAAAATCCTGAGGTGGAAAAAGCTTGATGAAAATAGTCTGAGGTGGATAAATTTTGAAATATAAGAATCCTGAGGCGGAAAACTCGATAGAAAAATCCTGAGGTGGAGAAAACTTGATGAAAGAATCCTGAGGTGGAGAAAGCTTGATGAAAGTACCCCGAGGTGTAAAAATTTTGAAATATAAGAATCCCGAAATGGAAAAAGCTTGAAATGTAAAGATCCTGAGGTGAACAAATCTGGACATATAAAAATCCTGAGATGGTAAAGACCCAACACAAAAAACCTGAGATGGAACAACATTGATGCAAGGATCCCGAGGTGAATAAATCTTGAGATGGAAAGATCCCAAGGTGGAAAAATCTCGTGACACGAAGATCTCGACGTGGAAAATCTGTGGAATACGCAGAGCTACGCCGATGACCGTCGTCCGTGTCGACGCTGACGAGAAATACGGGCGCGTTCGTCTCGCGTTACTTCATCAGAGACGTTCGTAACAGAGAGGACGAAGAGGTCAGCGTACCGCAGCCGCGCATCCGGCAGAAACGGGACTGGGAAGCAATTGGATATCGTATATAGGTAAGCAACTAGTCGCTGACGTCGGCGACACTCTTGCGACTCTTCGACAACGGACGCGCACGGCTCGAGTTGCGTTCCTCGCTCCGCGTGCAGACGCCACCCTTGACCCATTCACGATCCTCAAACGATCAACCATTAAACTTGAACGCTGAACGCTCGAAATTTCCTCCTTCCACCTCGAGAATCGACCACTTTAGAATTTTTCAGCTGTAATCGTCATTACGAATCGATTGTTGGGTTTGTTTCGAGAGTAGCTACGCAGGTTAGGTCACGTTCCGGAAAGGTTTCGTCCCATTGTGCGTAATGGGGCAATAAACATCTAGGCCTGCTTCTGTCCGACGAGCCAGGCTCCTGTTTACCCGAAGTGAGTCACTGCGCCCTTCCATCGAACGGTAAAAATCTCCACGGTTTTGAAACGCGTACACACGGTGCGCTTTCTAGTGCAAAGGTCGCTTTTGTGCAAAGTCCAACGTCGATCCATGGTCGTTAAGCACTAGGTCATCCCCCCACTTTAGAATATAAACCAGCGGCGCGCAACCGTTCGGTCTAATAATACATAAAATTTTGTTTTTAGGGAAAGGAATGAATATCCACTTCTCGGACGACAGATCGTTACGTTACGAAAACACCGGACTCTTCGTAACAGAATATTCGAAGGCGTCGCGGGGACTCTCAAAAAAGTGACGAGGCGACGAGGAATGAGAATAGGAGGATCGAATTACCGCGACGGAGACTGGAAGAGCAAAGAGAGCCGAAGGAAGTCGAGAGACGGAAAGTTACGTGGAATGCAAGCGTGAAAGCACAGGGAAGGGGAGATAAGAAAGGGCGAGGAGACGATTAGAGGACGAGGAGGTCAGAGGACAAGTGAAGCCCACGCGAGGGATAACAGCAGAGGGAGAGGTTGGATGGCTATCGGATATGACACGAGAAAGGTGCTGACGGTTAAACGAACGCTACCGTGGGCAATGAATTATATTGTCCCTCCTCTTCTACGGTCAGGTCAACACCGACCGACGTATTAGTTCCATCGTTAGGTTTTAGCAACAGTAAAGACTGAAATCACCCAAAATAAAAATTAATTCGGTTTTAAAAATGAAGGTTTTTTTTTTAGTGAGTAATAGCCCTATTTGTAAGCGATAAATGCGTTCTTAGGTGGCGAGGTCGGACTCAACGTAAGAGAGGAGGGTTAATTGCTACACAGAGGCCACCTACAGGTAGGACATAGGGTTTTAGAGACAAAAATAAAAAGAGTAAAAGGTAAGTAAATCTTCCATATTTCTCCGACGCCTCCAGAACAATCCCTAGCATCCCAATTACCAGTCAGTTCCTACTAAAGATATTTTTCATTGTTTATAAATTGTATGTACTGTCTAGTCAAAGAAACCTAACCCAGCACAAAATATTTCAACTTGATAATTACTATTGCATCAATCATGGGTATAATAGTACAAATATTCTTCATTGTTTATACATTTTATGTACTGTCTAGTCAAAGAAACCTAACCCAGCACAAAATATTTCAACTCGATAATTACTACTGCATGGGTTTACCTAATGCTATTCTATTCATACCTAGCTACTCCCCACAGGAGTCAACCCTCCCACCCCGGAATTCTTCAGCAATTAACACTAAACCTACCCTGGTTTCATTTGCTCCTATTTATATTGCGATCGAACGAATGACCAGTCTTAAAGACACTTTTTTCAATCGAAAAATATTTTACCTAGTATTTATATATAATTTATATATTGCATTAGCGTATCAAGAAAGTCCACATCAATCTTTGGTAGGCGGTACAGGTCTGAATATATCGGAATTGTTTAAAAAGAGTAACACGTGTACATCCCTTAAAATGTTGTGGAACAAAACGTTACCTATGTAATTCAATAGAAAGAATAATCCTGATTCATTCCAACCGACAAATGTCTTCTTCTAAAATAATTTTCTTATTTTAAGAAATAGTAAAGAATTAGACTTCTTCATAGAATATAAATTCTTCTTGGAATATAAATTCAAATGTGTGTTGGAATTTTTCTTAAAAATTGACACGAACTTTTTGGTCAACCCAATGTATAAGAACTGTGTATACAAATTTGAAAACGTATCCATGAAAATACCCATATCTAAGGATCTACAAACGAGACAATGGCGCAACAGGTGTTGAAGGCTCTGCGCACGAACGATGCTCGAGTCGGTAGCGAGTCGTGTTCGACGTCTAGGTTAAATTAGGAAGGCCACGTGCAGATTGCACGGGGGTCCGACGGGGGACCGCGCCAGGGTACGGGACTCGAGGGTGGTCTGGCAGGCGAGGTTAACGTTGGATCGAGACCCGGCCGTGCGGTAAAACGACGCTCTGGCGTCGGCGCAGCGACGGCAGCGTCCGTTCGTGCCACTCGAGATCGCGGTATGTTAAAAGCCTTATTCCCCCTCTTGGCTCTCGGATAAAGCGCCGCGGCGCATGGAAAACCGCAGACACCCGACGCTTCTCCAAAGAACCACCACTTCAAAAGCTTTCGAACTTTCTTCTCCAGACCCGTCAGGCACCCCGCCGCCGAGGATACACTTATGGATCATGCGACTTCTGCGTTTACTCACGCGAAACCGAAGGGGGATGGTAAAGTTAGCGACGACGTCGAACGAACGAATTACCGGTGGCGATCGGTCTGGCTTCAAGTTCGAAATTGTAATTTATTCTGGTACGGGAGTGTTAAGTTGCACCAGGTATAAAAAAATACCGGGGGTTGATGTTGATTGCAAGTGGAATTAAAATATTATTTTTCGGTAGATTCGGTAGATTGTAATCCTCTCCTCGAGCAACCCTTTTCAATGAGTACAGGGTACACCAGGTATAAAAATGGCGAGGATTAATGCTAATTGCAAGTCGAATTAAAACCATATTTTCTGTAGATTCGACAGATTCTGAATTGGTTAAATAAAGAGTACTAATCCTCTCCTCGAGCAACCCTTTCCAATGACTATAGGCTACACCAGGTATAAAAATAGCGAGAATTAATGTTAATGGCAAGTCGAATTAAAACAATATTTTCTGTAGATTCGACAGATTCTGAATCGATTAAATAAAGAGAATTAATCCTCTCCTCGAGCAACCCTTTCCGATGACTCAAAGTATTCTGAATCGATACACGTAAACACATTCCGAACAGAGTCTAAACCATAAAATCTAAACCATAAATAAAAAAAAAAGCCGATGTTATTCCACGAACCGAACATCTCTCGCGCGTCCATTCTCGATCACGTGAGGTTGAAGTAATCGGAAGTCGCGCGATCCTCGTCAACCGAGCGGCCACGTAGCGCCCGATACGAGAAGCATGACCGAGCAGGGAGTCCCCGATTACGCGCACCGAGGTACGTACACACTGCGCCCCGCTACCCATTCGCCGCATGCCAAGATACCGTTGGAAATTATCTTAAATTCGCGGTCCCGGGGCAGCTAGATATCCACGCGCCTCCTATCGTTCCTCTCTGTATCGCGCGTAGACAAAACTAGATTAGAAATGCGCATTGTCTAGGTCAGGGTCGGCGTGTATCAATGCCCGTTTCGATACGGTGCGATCGCGCGGCACGCGACCACCGTCTCTTCTTTCGCGATTTTCCACGCGCCGACCGAACGCGAATGGAAATCCAGGGGTATTGGAAACAAGTGGAGACTTCAAGAGTCCCTTCTGTAGCCCAAAGAAATTCTGGCTCTTCTGTAGCCCAGAAAATAAATATGTCTATCGACTTTTATGAATATCCCACTTAACACATTGTTAACCGGTAAATTCGTGCATTATCTATATCAATTTATGAAACCCAGGGCGATACAAAAAAAATTATATAGTTATGTAAGAGTATAGTACGTAAAATATTTCAATTCGGTACGTTGGTAAACTATAATTAAATTATATTGGACTTTATCCAGATTGTTTGAATTTCTTCTGTGTAAAATTGCCGGTCAACAATGTGTTAATAACCCTGTTATTAGAACAAAACAGCTAAGCGAAGCGAGAAAACCCTTCAACCATTTTTTCGCGAGCCTCCTATTCCCCCTTTTTATTGCTCTTCGATGACCATCGCTTATGAAGCATTTATTTCCACAAAAGGAATTGGTGTTTATAAAAGAAAAAAATGAAACTAGCCCGAACGAGTTTATGGGCTCGTGAGTGCGAATGACGAGTGTTTGGGTAGGTGCGACAGATGATCTCGCAGAATGTTTACGTTTGGGGTATCGGTTGCGGCGAGAAGAAACGGAAAACGAGTACCGAGAATCCGTGCAGGGTTTTGGGCTCTTTGTGGCGCGTAACACGAGCGCTGTAACCGGAGTATACGTGTGGGTGCTGTACATGTGAAACCATGAAGTACATACCATGAAGTATATACCATGAAGTATGTACAACGTGATAAAGGATGGACAATCGGAGTTTTTGTGCATCGTAGTCGCCCGTGCCCTTGCTTTTGCTGTTTTCAGACCAATTACTATTATTTAGACCAATACCAATTCTTCATTATCGTAAACTATACGTTAAGAGAATAAATCGCCAGTGTTCCACGCCACAGAGATGATATAGCATCAGTAGGAAATAAAGCTACAGTATCATGTCCCTATTCCCGGCTCTATTCCCACTGAGGATCCCTATCAACCCTTTGCACTCGAGAGGTGACTCTCAGTCACCATTAGGTTTCACGCAGCAAATCTACAATACCTAATGTTTTTGTAGGTTTAATTTCTTTGGAGTTCGAAGTGTCAATAAAATGACTGTCGGCGAGGTAAAGGTGAGCTTATTCTCAAATCTAGATAGCTTAGAATTCACGGCAATAGAATGCTAAGAAACATCTCGAGTTGCTGGCAGATACCAGAAAAAAGACCTCGTGTGCAAAGGGTTAACACGTTGAACGCCACGTCACCCATATATGGGCGACAGAGCTTTTCAGTATGGAACTTGAGCAATTAATTTCAAGGGCTAACAAGAGACCGTCATGCAATAAAACAAAAGACAGTGTCTCCGAGGACCGTTCAGCCCTAAACGGGCCAATTAGAACTCGAAACGGTCAGCTCTCGACACGTGGGGGACAGGACAGAGACTGCGTAACGCGATACGGAAGAGGTTGACCCGTGTAACTCAGGGTCTCGGGCCACGGGACAAGCTAGGGAATTTGTCACGACTCCCCCGCCTATGCTTAGTTTCCAGTTCGCTTCGACCAATTTCCCAGACCGATCGAATCCTTTTCACGTTATTTACGATCCGTGCAACACGATCCATCGCTCCGAATCGGGATTTATCGTTCTCTGAGGGACCTAAGGCCCTCGTAAGACGAGAGGGAGTAAATTAAAGACTTCTCAGGGAGTAAATTAAAGACTTGGGTTGAATGCTCATTCGGCTGGGGTTCGCGGGTTGAGATACAAGAGAAACGAAAGAAACCTAGTATTAATTCAATCAGTTTTAAGGGTATACAGTGTTTACAGCGCTGCACAATGCCGTTTGATACGCGTACTGTCTCCATTTCGTTCGCCATCTTTGAACCACCTTGGATACATCTAGAGTTCTCTGGATACGCTAGGTTCAATAAAATTCCTGAAGCAGAGGATGAAGTGTAAAGTAAGAGTACTTGCGACGGAGGAACGATCGCTGTCACCAAACCTGGCGTCCAAGGGATTAGTGTCCAAGGACCCGACACTTTCTAACTCTTTCTGCTTGGGACGCGTATCAAACGCTCAGTGAAGCTTTGCAACCACGGTCGAGTCGAGTCGAAGGGTAACCGAAAAGATGGACGCGGAAGAGTCGATGGATACGAATGGACCGTCGGGTTGCAAATAAATACTCACTATTGCTAAGAGTGGTGGTGGTGGTCGTCAGCTGATGCTGCGAGTGGGTCGACGGCGGATTCACGGTTTGGCGTCTAGAGAGCGTCGCGTATTGCGTCGCCAAGGTGTCGTTGGACGACGGAGCGTAGCTCCAAGCGGTGGCGTCCACCGCTGATCCGACCCCGGTGGTCGTCTGCTGCGTTGGATAGGATGGACTGTATCCTCGAAAGCTTGGTCTGCCGCAGAAGGGTTGCGAGAAACCGGGCAGGGCTTGGTGAGTCACCGTGCCGGATGTCTTGCCGCTGGCTCCGTAGTCCTCGGAGATACCTGATAGACCGGAGTTCAGACCTGTTCGAACAGCGATTGGATAGATAATTGCAGTGGTAAACGAAGAATTACAACTTAAAGAAGCGTGGTTCGATATTTTGGGTTTAGGCTCTTTCTGAATATATCTACAGTCAGTAGTACTCTCAATAAGTACTCTAAAATAAGTACTCTCTATGTCTATTTGAAGAAATTTCTCGAAATTAAATCATAGGCTCGAGACGATTCCAAATGAATTTTTCATTGTAAACATATGTATATATGAATAAACTTTGCACGTGTATATATTAGGTTGCTCCAAAAATTTCTTCTATGCACTCAATTACCTTGTGTGGTGTTTATATAGACAACCTAATTTCTCAGACGTTAATGATGTAACAGTAATGAAGCAAAATGAATCGTACGCAATTCAATAATATAACATTAAGCATAAAATATTGTGT